AAGGAAGTAGCCAGACAGCAATGCTTTCTGAAGGTCTCTGCGATTCTTCTCAGAGCCAAAGGCTGGTTGGGACAAGGGAAGTTCAATTCGTTGCATGAGTTCTAGGAGTTCTCCTCGAAGTTTCTGGGCTTGGCACAGTGCTGCCCAATTTAGACCCCGAGCCTGGCACCAAGCCTTGTCTGTTCCACCTAGGAAAAGGACCAGGTACAACTAAAGTCCTTGAGATACCTGAAAGAACCCAACCCTTGGCCAAAGGGCCTCCTCTTCCTGGGCATAGACATCTGTCAGCTGGTTGCACACCACTTTCCACCTTTTGGAAAATCTAGGATTCTATAAGAGGGTGCAGAGTGGGCCACTCACTCTGTATAAAGCCTTCATACACCTGGATCAGAGAGCTGTGATCACCATCCACATGTTCCAGGGCCCGACGTAAGGCAGCTTCTTTTGTACAGAGTGGAGGATGGGTAAACCCAGGGGCAGCTGGAAGCAGAAAGTCGTTTTGAGGAATGAGAAAGGAAAGCCGTACAGGTGGAATTGTGAAAAGGTAGATGTGTCACTTCAGAAACTTTATTCAAAAGACATTGATAACTTTTATGTGCTATGTACTTTATCAGACATTGGAGAGAAACAAATGAAAGACAGTTTCTACCTTCAAAGAGCTTGGAGTCTGGTGGGAGAGATAGGCAAACTTGATGAGCATGATAGGTATATGGGCCAATGTTTGAAGTCTGAGCAGGAATTAGCTCAGTGGAGTAGGGGCAGAGAGAGGATTCTGGACCACGGGAACATGGAGGCACAGAGGTTAGTAGCATGCCATGTTTGAAGAACTGCAAGCACCTAGTATGTGTGGAGGGAATGGCATGTGTGGCAGAGTGACAGGGGATGAAGCTAGGGCTAGGTCATGAGAGGCTGCACGTGCTGTGCAAATGAGTTTACATTCTGTCTGGAAGGTAAAGAAAAACTGTTGAAGAAGAGTTTTTAAGTAAGATAGTCCATGTGTTTGATGAAGTTTACATGACTAGTTAGGAGGCTACTGAAGGAATCCAGCTAAGCAGTGATGGGATCTAACATGAGCACCGACAATGAGTTTGAGAAGAGCAGATGAATTAGAAAACATTTAGAAGATAAAAAATGAAAGAACCTGGATAAAGATTAATCTAGAATGATGGTAATGGAGCTGCAGAGATGATGGTATGATTTTGTGGTGGTGATGGTAAGGTCATTTAAAAAAGTGCTCAAGTTCAGTTCTAGGTTGAAGTACTGTTGACTATTCTGGTAGAAATGTCCATCACGAGTTGGGTATCTAAATCTAAGATTCAAAAGAATGGTCTTGGCAGGGAGATACAAGGTTTGGAAATTTTAAGTATGAAAGTGGCCCTTCAGAACATGGGTGTATATGAACTTGCTTGGAGAGTTCAGGGAATGAGAAGACAAAAGGGGCAAAAAATCCTGAGGTCCAACTTACAGTGGACAAACAGAGGATGAAAAGCCCAAGGAAGAGATTAAGGTAATGGTCACTGAGGTAGGATGAAAACCATGAGCAGTCACAGAGGCGTAGAGCAGGCAGTTTCAAGGTGTGAGTGGTTGGTATTTTCAAGTGTCAAAAGGTCATGGATGTGGCCCAAAAGTGTTTACTGGATTAGGTGTTTGGGAGGTCACTGGTGAGCTGAAGTCTGTCTCAGTGCTGTGGTGGGTCTGAAGGTAGAATGGTGGGTGAGGAATACAGTAGATGGACTTGGACAGATTATACTGTATAGTTGAAAGGGAGGATAGGGTTGAGGAAGAGAGGTGTGGAGTTTTAGTAATAAGATTTAAGCATGTTGAAAGGCAAGAACCAGCAGAAGGAAAAGGCTAAAGATGCACAAGAGGGATAACTGATTAAGCCTGGTTCTGTAGGCACTGTGAGGGGTGGAAACTGGAGCACAGGGGAAAGGGCTAGCTTTTTGGAGCACAGAAACACCAAGGGGAAGGACTTAAGTAGCTGAAAGAGCCAGGGAGAGAGCTGAGTTATACCGGTAAGCATGGCAGCGAGGGTAAGCATTTCGTCCACACAGTCGAACTCGCATGAAGCCAGCAGGGCTTTGGCCAGCTCAGGGGGCAGAGGGAACTCTGATAGGATGACACCCAGGTCTGACAGGTCCCCATCATCATCCAGGGCTGCCAGATAGTCTAAGTCTTCCAGGGCCTGCATCAGTGCTTCTGGAGCTGGTGAGGAAACAGGGCTTACAGAGCAGGGTTTCTCAGAGCCTCGTGGTCAGACTTCGTGGGCAGCATTTGGGCAGGAGGGGTGCTCACCAGGCCAGTCCAGGAATTGACATTTCCCTGGCTCTGCAATCTGTCTCCTCTTTAGCAGTAACACCAGGGGGCTCAGATTCTCCTCACACACCCTGGGTTGGGGCAGTGGGGGAGCCTCTAGTTCTCTGAACGACTTAGGATACAGGCAGAGGCAGGATCCTGAGGGGAGAAAGACCTGGGAGAGAAGAGCACTGCAGATTTCTCAGGGCTTGCGCGTTGGTAATTCTTTTCACGTTTGATCTCAGTGAGGGCAAAGGCTCTTACCTGGAGGGGCCCCTCTTGCCCGCAGTTGTCTTGCCTCTGCCTGACACTTGCTGATTGGCCTTAGCACTTGCGATTCTGCTCGGATCTGAGGATTGTACACCTGTCGCCGCCCCCAACCAAGGTCATGACAGATCAGAACGGGTCATTCGTATCTTTAGTCCCCACACCCCCTCATCTCTGTCACTCACACTTCGAAGCTCCAGTCCTGAGTCAATGACATGTCGGATGGACGGGAGGGAGAAGGAGAAGTCAGCCAGCCAGTGAGTGACAACAACCTTTCGGGCACCTGAATTTATGTCCTCGTACACAGCCTGAACAGCTTGACCGTGGCCTGGGTGAAGGGGCAGCACCCGTGGTGGAGGTCCTTGGAGAGCCAAGGTCCCCACTTCCCTGGACAAGGATTCACAGCACAGAGTAATTTCCTGAGGAGAGGGGTGGGGCATTAGGGCCGTTCTCACCTTTTGGGTTACAGACCCCCTTGAAAACCTGATGAAAGCTATGGCCTTTCACTCTGAAAAAGTGCACATACTCATAAAGTTGCGGCGTGTTATAATTTCAGGAATTCACTAAAATACAAATCTCTCCATTAGATGGAATAAAAAAAGAGGGTGGTAGTCCATTTTACCCTGAAATTCTTTAGTTTTCCTCAGGACCCCAACAGAGAGTAAATACAACTCCAGTGTTCCTAACAAGCAGTGCTCCCATTCCCCTGGGACAGGAAGGCGGCATAAGGAGCACCTCTTTTGCAGCCTGTTTTTTTTTTTTACCTCCTCACTAGGCAGGTATACCAGCACATCTCCTGGAGCCTCCTTCTGACACAATTCAAGCACAGCTTGGCAGGCAGCTTCCACTCTATCAGTAGGGACAGTGTCCCTGTAGATGAGAATGGGATACCTGCCAGGCCCTCTGGGTACATGAACAATAGGAGGATTGCCCCAGAAGGCTTGGAGCTTAGGTTCAAGGGCTGGGTCAGTAACCACAACCACTCTGGGGTCGTCTGGAAGGTTTCCCAGCTTGGCATTTCGCAGCAGCCCCTGGAGCAAATCTGAGGCCACTGACCGCTCCTGAACCTCATCCAGCACCAGCACATCCCAGGCTCCCGTACCCCGAGTTGAGGCCAACTCTTGAAGCAGCAGCCTGTCCCAGCAAAACCTGTTGACATTGGTAATGGACAGAGGAGTCAGTGTGGACCAGTGTGGACGTTGACCATCCCATAAATCCAGGGGGGCTTCTCCCTGGGGGGCATAGATTTTGATAATGAAGGTCAGAAAAAGACCCTGTGACTGGATTCCTGTGGATAACAGTGACCCACAACCTCACTGATGGACACCACTTTGTTCACGAGCTGTAATCCAGCTGGGAAAGTGAGACTTTCATGATGAGGGTGAGGATGAATGTCTGAGGTCTAGGTTGGGGTTAAAGGGCTTAATTCAGCTTTGCATAATGCATGATTTAAAGAGTGACCTGGGCTGAGGGAAGATATGGTAAGATGTCAGAGGACTGGGCTCGTTTTCTGCTGGGTAAGGAGAATTAGAATTGAGTCAGGCCTGCAGACCTCACCTGAGCAGGGTGTGAGGTCCAGTGCAGTCCTCCTGGGGGATGCTGTACCCAATCTCATGACCCACGATCAGGTCCATCTCATCAGCAATGCGCAAGGCTAGGCTCAGGGCTGCCAGAGGGTAGGGCTGAGTGACAGTTATCCGGCCCTTCTGGAACCCCCTGGCCAGCACAAACTCTGCACACCACTGAGGGATCTGAGGTAGGGGTAGGAAAGGACAACCAGTCGGCAAGGCATAGGACTTTAGTCAGAAGTGCTAGGACAGCTATGACCAGTTTAATCTCTCCTTATTTGGGGGAGTGCCCTGGTCCTTCGCCACCCTGGGGCCTGCCTAACTATATACTCCCTTTGCCCACCTCCCCCATAACCCTTGACAGCCCAATCCACCCCTGCCCAGCCCCTCCCTTTGTCCATTCTCAGAATCTCTCCCCACCTGGGTGCTCTTGCCAGAGCCAGGCTCTCCAGATACCAGCACCACTCCGCTGGGGCTACTTTCCAATTGCTCCAAGAAGATAAAGCGAGCAGCCCAGATAGGCAAGGCTCGGCGCTGCTCAAGCAGCTCATAGTAGCGGGAAGAGAAGGGGAGCCCGTCAAAGGGATTCACAGCCAGTTCAGACTCCCCAGGGCTCAGGCCAGACTCTTCTGCCAGCCTAAGAAGCTGAGAGGCCATGGTGGCTGACTGGCAGGACCTATAGATGTCAGGGCAGTCATTAATACCTTGTATTATCTTCCCACCTCAGCCCTGATCCCTAACTTGTACCTTCAGCTGATAATGCACTAAGGTCCATCCTTCCCGGCATTTTTTGCCTTCCAGCAAACAGTGGAGACTTGAGTCTCCAAGTAAGGGACTATCAAAAGAGGACTATTACCCTGTAGCCAAGTAGTAAAAATCCTGTACAGGGGTCTCAAGGAATTATGAGACCTGTGGGAAGGTCTGAGGGTGGGAAAAGATAAAGAATAAGAGGAGGGGACAGGAATTGGGGAGCAGGGCCACAAGGATCCTGGATTCAAACCTGCTTGCAGATCTGAGACGTGTCGGGATGGCAGCTGGTTCAACCCACCTGGCCAGGTTACTACTAACCTTGACCAGCTTGAAGTACAAAGGTAAGTTCCGGCTCTATCCTGGGGCTGGGCTCAAACACAATCCTTAAGACTGGTTTTGGGGTGGAGCCATTTGCTCCACCTTATCTAATCTAGTCAGGAGCCTATGGAAAAAAGGCTCCAACCACCACACTGAGCATGTGTGAACTCTATAGACACCATGTAGTATGAAAAGCATCCTGGGACTTGCAGTTTTGCAGCTGTTTCTTCACAAGGAAACAGCTGGTAAACACCCCAGCTAGGTCCAGTTGCTTGGTCTTCAGTTCAATTAATACTTCCTAATATCACTCATCTCTTGACACAAGCAGGTGATTTCAGACAGTTCCATTCTGACCACCCCTGACAAACCTACAAGGAGGATCTCATCCACAATCCCTGCAACTAAGAGAAAAGGAATCTGTTCAGGGAGCTTTTGAGAAACAGAGAGGCAACAGAGACCTTGAGTGAAAACCCTGAATTTAATGTGATATTGGGGGGAGCCCCATCCCTCCCTTTCTACCACCCACCCATCCAGCCTGTTGTGAGTTGGGTGAGGGCTGCCCCCAGTCTCCGTCCTGCGGTTCTGGGTACCATCCCATCTTGTGCTCAGTCAGCCTCCTGGGCCTGTCTTTCTGTGAATCTCCTGTGGGACACAGAAGAAGACATTGTGTGGGCTTTATCGTATTAGCTCTATAATTAGCTACCTTCTCCAACCCATCCCTTCCTACCCATTGCCCTCTAAGCCCTTTACCTTCTCGCATACTCATACAGTGCCTGTTTTCGCTCCTGTAGGCTCTCCTGCCGGGCCCAGGAGGACTTGGCAAATGTAAGGGCTGTGGGCTGAGGGGTCACCGGGCCAGAGCTGGGAAACTGAGGTGATCACAATGTCAGAGGGCTTGCGAAGTCATCATCATTAAACACGCATCGAATGCCTACTTTACAAGAGAGGCACTGTGCTAGGGTCTCAGGATCAAAAAAGAGACACCGGGGATAGGGAGTATGTAGACTGCCCCATCCCTCCCCAAGTCTTGGATCTGACCATTTCCTGGGTCTCACCTTGGGGGCGGAGACTGTGGGAAGGGACTGGGTCCCTTCAGTGATATCTTCAGGAACAAAAGCTACGGCTCCCTCAAGCAGATTAGTGATGGTCAAGTCTACGCAGCCAGTCCTGGCTGGAAAAAAGGGAAGAGAGGAGAGGAGATGTTTCCCTGCTCACCTTTCCCCTCACCACCCACTTTTCTTCTCTTTGCTTATCTTCCTGTGTGAGGCCACCCTTTTCCATACCTAGGTCTCTCTGGATGACGACCAGTGGCACATGGGGTAAAACTTCCTTGACTCTCTGAGCCAAAGTTGCCAACTGTACATCAGGAGAAGGGCCTGGGGAGGGAGGGAAAGAAGACTGGGCTGCAAAAAAGAAATCCAAAATATAGTGAGTAGAGAACGAGGAGGAAGGAGAAGCTGACTAGCACAGGAATAGGGAAGAAACTACAACGGGCTGGAAAAAAACCAAAAAGCTTTGTGTATAGAGACCACATACCTGACTGGGGACGCAATCTGGGGTGTCTTTGTCGTTTCATGTGCTCTGCTTTGTCTGCTGGAGTGAGTCGTGTCCCTGTCTGGCCCAATTCTTTGGCCACCAGCTAGGGAAAATAGGAAGGTTGGAAGTGTCAAAGTCTCAAGCCTTCTTTCCTCTCTGCCTAAGGAAAGCCCCTACCTCCACCCTGCCTGTGTACCCTACCACCTGTTGTACACGGAGGGCAAACTCCTCATTCCCCTCCCCTAGCTGGCGATGAACAGGACGGAGCCACCTGCAAAAAACAGTCAGGGCCATGGTGGGGGCACCCGGAGTAGAGGCTGTCACCCTCTCCCTGCTTTGATACTAGTATTCAAGGAAAAGTGGTGTTAAGAGTGAGAAAGAGTAAATACTTTGTATTGTCTCCGTAGTGGAACCTTTATATTAACAGATCTGCAAATGGACAAGGCAGGGGCAACTACTTCCTTAACCTCGAGGTGAGCTTTTCCCAGCCACCAAAAAATGAGGACAGTTAATACCTTACTTGATACACCGTGAAAGGGACGAAAAGTGACCACAGTAGTTCTGAGACCCAGGAGGCATCTGACACCGTCTGAGAGGAAGGCATGAAGTGAAGTCTAAGTCTGGCCAGGAGTGGGAATATTCCTCTTAACCCCGTCCCCCCCACCCCACCCC